GACCCTTGGAGTTAATGCAAAATGAAGCTCTCAGAATTATTCTTGGCTGTCCCAAATCTACAAAGGTTCTAATATGAGGAAGGAGCTTGGTATTTCTAGTATCAGTGATAGGATTGTTGAGATTAACACTGTACTCGGTATTAGAATGTTAAGAAATGAAGCAGACACTGTCACAATGAATCTTGTAATAAAGTTGGTAGAATTACTGACAATATGTAAAGTAAAAGGACACAAGTGCAACTAATGTGACATTTATTGTGGCAACGTTTCGCTCTCCAGGAGCTTTATCAAGCCATTGATAAAGCTAAATGTCTCGAAGTTAATACATACAGATCTAAATGGATTGTGAAAATGTGCAACTGCATTAAGTTTTATAACCTGCATGAACTGTATCACTGTAGGCAACAAGACCATTTCACCCCTCTATGGAAGATGTATTCATTTAATATCACATACCTGCAAGTCCTTCCAAAGAAGCTCATTGCTAGTAATCCCTTCCTTAAATCACTTGTTAAAGCAATTGCTAAAGAAGAAATTTCTCGCCTAGCTGGTAGTAATAAGTTATCACAGGTTATATACACTGATGGATCTAAACGGGAGCTTTCTGGCAGGGCTGCATCTGCTCTTGTTGCCACCTCCCTAGTCAGAAACGATAATAAACTTGTTGAGCTAGGTATAAGAATTAACAACTGGGCGTCTACATTGTAAATTGAATTGTTTGCAATCCTAGTGGCGCTAAAGCTAACTTATGACACTGAGCTTGACTCTATCATCATTCATTACTGATTCCATGTCATCACTGAATGCTCTTAACTCATATAATGACTCGAACATGCTCATTGGAGAAGCCAGGTATAGACACTCAAAAATCAGGGATAAATGAATTAATGTACAATTGCTATGGATCCCATCACACATTGGATTACTCCTGCATGATAAAGTTGATATGTTAGTCAAGAAGAGTACCCAGAAGGAGAATGTAGAATATAACTTTGGTATAACTGTGTCTAGCATTAGGAATAATATTAGGAGAGAAGTAAATAATGAAAATGATTGTTATAGGAATGCAGTTAGAAGCCTGAGTAGATCTATAACCCACTATGATAACGTGAGCATAGATAAGTATGTGTATGGAGCAACTTGCAATGTGAACAGACTGACTGATGTTGTAGTAGCCAGGCTTAGGCTTGGTTACAGGTACTTCTGGCAGTTTGGGAGACACAGATGATGACCAAACTAAATGCAAATTATGTGATCAGGTATATGGTCACTCTCTTGAACACTATGTGCTTAATTGTCCACTTATTGAGGAATACAGAGATAGACAGTATAATAACCTATGTGACATGTCAAGATATCTTATTAATGAAAATAAGATGCCAAATATATTAAGCAAATTTCCTAAATTTGCTTATAACAGATAAGATTATTATTATTATTATAATCAAAACGAAGCGCTAAATAACAGATAAGAGAACTATAGATATGTAGATATAAATCCATATGTACCCCTGCTAACCCTTTTGGGGTCTAGTTCATAGGCATTTTGTGTATTCATATGCTCTTGCGCTACCGTCCACAGGATAGATATGGGGTGCACAATAAACTAGCCACTTCGGTGGCAAAATCTAAAATCTGATGCATTCAGTAGGTCATTGATGTAGACGAGAAAGAGGAGCGGTCCAAGGACACTTCCCTGTGGGACTCCTACTGTGATTGGTTGTGTGGAAGAGTTTGCACCATTTGCGTACACGTACTGGCTTCTGTTACTAAGGTATGACTTTAGGTAGTTGAGGGAGTAGTCTCTTATACCATAGTGTGTTAATTTAGTGTGCAGCAATTCATGGTCGACTGTATCAAAAGCTTTACGCAAGTCATTGAAAATTCCCATTGGGACTTCTTTCTTCTAGAGAGCGGTATATATTAGTTCTATCATGTGTATACATCATTTGTGCTTTTATTATTCCTGAATCCAAACTGACAGGGGTTTAGTATGTTGTTTGAGATGAGGTAGGAATAGATCCGTCTATAAATTAATTTTTCAAAGATTTTAGAGCGTAGTGGTAAGTTAGAAACTGGTCTATAGTTATTCAAGTCTGCTTGATCACCTCCTTTGTGGATCGGGGTAACCCTCGCTATTTTGAGAACTGCTGGGAAGGTGGAGGATTCAATGGATTTGTTAAAGAGTGTTACAATAATTGGTGACAGTACTTGCGAAGCTTTGTACATAAAAGTAGGGAAGTTGTTTATGTCTCCTGCCTTGTTTTTAAGGGTGTTGATGATGAGGATAGTCAGCCCAGAAGCAAAGGTATTGGAGTGGTTAACTAGCAAAATTAACATTGGTAACATAAGTGTTATCAGAATTATCAGTCAGACTTCAGGAAACTATAAAGGACTTAACATTCTGAATATAAATGTGTCTGGCAATTGTCTAAGGGAAATTCCACACACTTTAGGAAAACGGGAAAGCTCACCTAAAGGGTAGACTAACGGTTGAGCATCAAGCCTTAATTCCTTGGAGTGGAATCCTGGCAGCTAAGACAATCTAGAGAATTCATATAAGAATCTGGTTTTAGACTGCATGATAGCCTCAATTATAAACAAATAGAGCTTAAACAACTTACTACCCCCATTATATGACAAATGTTTAATAATTGCAGACTCAAGAATATTTCTTTCTAGCCAGGAAGTACATTGAAGAATGACCTTTGCCTCAGACCACTTAGCCGGATTATTATGTGTGGTCAAATATCGCATTTGATTCTTGAGCAATCCTTACTGAATACTGACGTGTAATTCTAACATTTAGAGGTTTGCCAGTTTGTCTCATATAGGATAAGTTGCAGCCTTGGCACCCAATCCTTTACACACCACCTACACAGCGTTTAGGGGAATTTTTGATCAACATACTTTTAACAGTCCGTGAATTCTTAAAAACAGCTCTTATATTGAGTCGCTTTAGGGCATTTGGTAGGACTGATTAATTCTCACTGTATGGTAGGACAAGCACATTCATGTTATGAGGGATTATTCTAGGTTCAGTCCTATGATAAGTTTTTCTAACTACCAACAAAGCAGTCTCTGCAAACTCCTTAGGATAACAGTTTTTTTTTAGCAATATCGAAGATTTTCCTTATTTCCTCACCCAAAAACTCCGGGCTACATACTCTGTAAGCTCTCAACAATATAGTAAGAAAGGCACTTCTTTTTACTCTAGTTTCATGGTTGGAGTAATAGTGATATGAACATTTGTTAGTGGCCTTCCTATATACTGTAAACTTGAATATTCTATCAGCCCCGTGGATCAGAAAATCTAAAAATGGAAGTTTAAAGTCTACTTCTTGCTCTACGGTGAATTTAATACCTGGAGACCTGGAGTTTACCTGGAGAGAGTTCCGGGGGTCAACGCCCCCGCGGCCCGGTCTGTGACCAGGCCTCCTGGTGGATCAGAGCCTGATCAACCAGACTGTTACTGCTGGCTGCACGCAAACCAACGTACGAGCCACAGCCCGGCTGTGTATTAAGGTCGAAATAATTCGGCCAAAGACACAAGATGTCATCCAATATTTGAACCACTTAGCTTCACAGGGCAGGATATCTTTCAACAGCTTAGTCTCAAAAAACTCCATATACAAATTGCTTAATAGGGAAGACAATAGATTTCCCATAGGCAATCCCTGCCTTTGAGAATAATATTTCCCTTCAAATTCAAACTTGCAATCAACCACACACAACTTCATCAACCCAGTAATATGTTGTCAAATGGTATGGGGAACTCATCTAACTCTTCCTCCAGATAAGCTAACAAATCAGGGACAGGTACACAGGTGAACAAAGCTGTGACGTCGAAACTTACTAGCGTAAAATCATTAGACATGTTAACATTTTGCAGTCTGTCAATGACATCAACATTGTTTTTAATGTGCCCACTAGGGAGAGCATTAATTACGCTGACCTTGCCAAATCTTTTTGCAACCTAGAAAAACAAGGGGAGCTACACCCGGAAACGTTCAGCATTAGCAAAGGCATGGTATATGGAGCTTTGGTAAAAGCATGCAGATACTGGTCAAGAGGTTCAGTTGTTGTTCAAACCGAACAGCAAATTGTGAAACAAAATGTGTTCTAAATGACTTTGACCGTGGAATGACTGTTAGTGCCAAAAAGATCGATCTAAGTATCCCAGAAACTACTGATCTCGTGGAATTTTCAGGCACAACAGTCTGTAGAGTTTACCGAGAACGGTATAAAAAACACAAAGCGTCCAGCGAGCGGTAGTTCTGTAGGCAAAAACGATATGTTAATGAGAGAGGTCAGAAATGAATGGCCAGACTGGTTCAAGCTGACAGGAATGCGACAGTATCTAAAATAACCATGCATTACAACAGTGGTATGCAGCTTTAAAAGCATCTCTGAACGTGCAACATGTCGAACCTAGAAGTGGATGGGGTACAGCAGCAGATCACACCGGGTTTAACTCCTGTCAGCTAAGAACAGGAAACTGAGGCTACAGTGGGCACAGGCTCACCAAAAGACAGCTGAAAATTGGAAAAACGTCGCCTGGTGTGACTAATCGCGATTTCTGCTGCGGCGTGCAGGATAAGGTCAGAATTTGGCATAAATCTTTAGGATGTGGTAGAACGGGAGATTCAACGCGGCATGAATGTGTAGCCGACAAATCTGCAGCAACTGCATTATGTTTACATGTCACATGAACCAGATTCTCTAAGGAATCTTTCCAGCATCTTGTTGAATGTGCCAAGAATAATTCAGGCTGTTCTAGGGGACAAAGGAGGTCATACTAAGTACTAGACGAGTAATGTACACATTGTATACGAAAGCGATCTTGAGAGAAAATTTCGAATTACATACTAGGCAAAAGACCTATTTCTGGGAATACTGGATCATGTCATCGAGAAACTGACATTAAGTTGGCGCACGTTCTTCACATTACCAATGTATAGATTGTAATAATCAATAAGCTTGTGTGTGGAGTAGATTACCTTCCCTGGGCCTGGTGTCATCGTCAGCAAGGGGCGAAGCTTCACGGTTGATAAGAAGACCCTGACGCCTCATGACCACGTCTGTGGGACTCCGAGCACTGTCCTTGATCATGATGATGGGTAGCCAGATACTCTCAGACACCTGCCCAGGTAGAATATAGTGATGGGGGAACTATTATGAAACTGCAGTCATAATATTACACCTGCACAGGTTGAAGAATATGAAAACAATCCTAATGATACTACGAAGGATAAGATTCAATACTGTGGCTGGAATAATTCACAGATAGTTCACACATTTTAGAAGGGAAAACTTCAGACAAAGTCTCGGTCTATCCAGGACCATCAGTCACGACTGCCTTGATAATGGTCCAAGACGAACCGAAACGTTTTCTAAAGTTTAATTTCCAAAATGTGGGTTATTTGTGAATTGTTGCAGTCACGACAATGTGACTTATTCATCATACTGCCTACCTTAGCCTGATTGTTAAAGTCTCCTGGCAGGAGGTTGGAAAAGGTGAGCCTAGCGTCGCGCCAGGTTACACTCTGCAAGACGTCCAACTGCATGGTAAAAGCAACCAGATCAAACACCCGCACTGAGGTGACCTCGAGGCGCAGAATTATCTTGAAAGGTTGCTTGTGTAGTGTGGGTGGTGAGAGCTCCCGAGAGTAACCATGCGGCACCTGCAGCACATCACAGTTGAGCTCATCACTGCTGTCAGCACAGTCGGTCACTTGGTCACAGCGGAGAGCTGCACTGACGCAGGAGCCATCACTGCACGTGAAATCCCCCTCGCTACACGCAGTTAACAGGTACTCCACCTGCATGAAACTGCGTATCGTTACGTACAAAGACAGCAAGAAGACTTTACAAGAAACGTTTCATTTTATGCCGAGCTTGCTAAAGCTCGACAAAGAGTGAAACATTGACAAAATTGTGGAAAAATTATTTTTCGATTTAAATGGAGCCGAGATCTGGAAATACTGTTTATATATATATATATATAATATATATATATATATATATATATATATATATATATATATATATATATATATATATATATATATATATGCAAAACAACCACTCTGAAAGAATAGAGAAATTCCAAGCGCTTTCGTGACTACTCACATTATCAAGGAACTATGAAAGCAAAGCATCCAAGGAAGCTATATAAGGGGTCTGGCCAACACCTCACTATCAGATCCCAGAACGGTTAAGCACGTGACGCGCGCCGACCCAACTTGGATAGGTCCTTTGCACAACTCACCCACAAACTATTCTACCCAAGAAAATTTAAAAATTATTATTTGTCCAGTGTATTATTAAATTCTTCCCAAATTCTATTAATTATAAATGGATCTAATTTATATAAACCAAAGGAAATATTCATATTATTGTCAAAACTGCTTTTTATGAAACAAGATTCAATTATATTCCTGTCGACCATGGACTTGCTTGATACTACTTTCTCAACTTTTTGAAAATCAATTGGATGGTTAAAATCTCTTACATGAATTAATAGAGCATTGGAATCTTGTCCAGTTCTAATGCTATATTTATGTTGTTTTAATCTTAGTTCGAGATTTTTTACCAGTTTGACCGTAATAAACTTTATCGCAAATTTTACAAGGAATCTTATAGACACATCCATCAGCATTTTGGGGGGAATTCTTTATCAAAAGTTTTTTTTACTGTATCAAGATTTTTGAATACAACTTTAATATTAAAAGTCTTAAGAAGAGAAGGCATATCAACCAAGTTTTCATGGTAAAGGAGAACCAACATATTTTTAGTTGAATAAGACTGGTTGTCCCTTTTTGGATTGTAAAAAGTATTTCTAGCAACTTTAAAAGATTTATCAATTACATTTCTTGGGTATTTTAAATCATTACCTATTTCATAAATTTTGGATATTTCCTCATCTATGAACTCAGGACTACAAATTCGTAAAGCTCTCAAAAACATTGATGAGAAAACAGACAGTTTGACTCTATCTTGATGCGAGGAATAATAGTGGACATAGGAACAGTTATTTGTAGGTTTTCTGTAAATTTTAAATTTGAATTCATTATTACCCCTAATAATTAAAACATCTAGATAATGTGAGTAGTCACGAATGCGCTTGGAATTTCTCTATTCTTTCACAGTGGTTGTTTTGCATATTCTGAAATCACCTGTTTACTGTGATCTTATTGCATTATTATATATAATATATATATATATATATATATATATATATATATATATATATATATATATATATATATATCAATAACAACACTGCGACTAGCCAAGGACTCGAACCCATGCTGCTTTGGCCTGCCTTATGGTGGGCGAAAACTCATGACGCCTTAATCCACTGGACCATACAATCCTTAAAGGACTAAAATGAAATTAGCCTAGAGTCATCCACACCATCGTATGTCCTTGGGCAGCTAGTACAACATCCAGTTCCGCTGGATGCGCTACTCTTAAGGATTGTATGGTACAGTGGATTAAGGCATCATGAGTTTTCGCCCACCATGAGTCGAGCCAAAGCAGCATGGGTTCGAGTCCTTGGCTAGTCGCAGTGTTGTTATTGATCAATACCACTCGTTCGTGGGCACTAATATATATATATATATATATAATATATATATATATATAAAAATAATAATATATATATATATATGTCGTGCCGAATAGGCAATCAATCAATCAAGGACTCACAGGTAAGGACCCACGAGGGGCGAGGGGCAAGTGGGGACAGTGCGAAGAATAGACGGTGAGAGGAATGTCTTGAGTCGAAGAGAGAAGAGTCAGGACTAGACCCAACTGCTAAGCCTGGATAACAATAACGAAGACGACATAGAAGACAGCAGGAACTCTGCGGGTGCTGACTGCAACTTGCTGGATAGAAGATTGCTGCATCTTGATGTTGATTGGCGGCTGGCAGAAGCTGGAGGCGTGGTCAAGGGAGTCTAGCTTCTTGATTGGTCAGGTGTCGTTAAATTGTGTGTCAGGAGTTACTTCATTTCTTCAGTGTGGTAGGAATTCCTTATGTTGTGCAGTTGTTGGAAGGAAACGATGAGTAGTCTTGTAATCTTGGGTCGAAATGCTGGGTCGGCTTATAACTGGTCAAGGGTCATCTTGAGTGTAGTGAAGGAGCAGTGGGATCCTTTACGATTTGTAAACTTGACTTTCTGTCGTGTAATTTATCGTACAAAGTGTCGACATTCATGGTGGGTTCTTGTTCAGGAGTCGTATAAAAAGTTGTCTTTGCAGTGCAGGTATTGATCTCGATGTTGGTCTTCTGTATTAATACGTCGAGTGATGACTGGAGAGGTTTTTGTTGGTGGTTGCAGCATTGAAGGTTCTTTCAATGTTGGTGTCTCCACTAGAGAGTGTGTAGAAGACTGTGGTAGAATCGTGGCTTCTGATTGGTCCATATGAGTAGTGGTGAGTGGAGGTGAAGAAGTACGCCGCCACGACGAGCCAATCGACGAGTAGAAGGCGATCGACGAATAGGCGGCGTAGTGCTGACTTGGATGTTATCAGGTGAACGTTGATTGGAGGATTCAAAAATGGATGCGTCGTCATTGTCAATTATTAATTCCTTCAAGTCATCTGGCGCTTCAAAACTAACGATCTTCGGGATTATTTTCAAAATTTCAGCTGATGGTGGACTTGCAGGGAAGTTAAATGATGGCATGTTGTTGAGTGCAAGAAGTTCATTGATAGTCGTGTTGAAAGAGCCAGGTTTTGCAGCATTTTGCATGTGGGCAAACATCATGCAGTAATAGAATTTGGTAGAAATATCATCAGGTGGAGGTTGGGTAGTGAGAGGTGGTGGAGACGACTGTTGAGTAGCTTGTAGAATCTTGGATGTTGTAGATTGAATCTTGGCAATTGCAGCGTATGTAGGAGAGGTTCTCAGATACCTTTGTTTCTTCCTTAGTTTCTTAGAAAGGATATCCTTTCGCACTGGACACATGGCTGCAAGAGTATGGTGATCACCTTACAGTTGATGCAAGTGGGAGCAGCAGTGGAAGTGCAAGAACGAAAATCGTGTCCTGCAGACCCACAGGTGGAACATATCTTCTTATTCTTCACGTGGCAGTCGGCAGTAGAGTGACTGTACGAGTAACATGTCCAGCAAGGTGTTATGTACGTGAAGCGTTCAGGTTCAATCTGTCGAGGGTTGATGTAGTAGTAAGAGATGGCCAGGCCATCCGACAGTGCTCTGGTCGCCATGGTAACGTCCAGGAATGTGACCTTGAGCATTGAGGAAGCGTTGGGGATCTTCACTACAGTGTCGCTGTATAATCCTCCGGGTTTAGCGCTTCCCCCTTGATTATAATAATAATAATTCACTACAGTGTCAATCTTGGCCCAGGTGTTGAGGTCTTCAAGTGATGTAGTAATTTCCTGGATGGTCATGTTCGTGATCAGCTTGTCAAGACGTTTCATAAACACTGACAACGTTTTGCAAGCATATATGGTGACGTAGAAATGGTAAAGCCACGGTCTTCTAAGGTCTTCATGGCAGTAGGTGTAAGCACCTTGTCAGCTTCAGTATCATCGAGAAAAGTGACGATGAAAGCTTCCTTCAATGACGTGATCTTGGAGAACTTTGCGTGCAGACAAGTGTTGAGAGAAGCTGCAAGCTCAAGCTTCGTGGCGTCATCGACGACAGCAGACTTGGGCTTAATTCTCACACGATGAGACATCGTGGAGATGGTAGAGGTTCCCCTCCCCAACGGGGATCGTAGGGATACTGTGCAAGTAAGAAGAGCTGCTATGACCTGCCAGGGCGAGTCAACAGCAGAATGTCTGAGTCTGAATAGGCAGAATTTGCGATCTTCGCTTAAATAGCAACGCTCATCTTGCCATATAGGACAAGCGAAAATTTGTGTATGCAATAATTTCGCCAAAATCATTCTGAACCTAACGAAAAAAATATATTTCACTGTGTTTGTTTAGTATTAAATTATTGTAAACAAATCTAAAATATATTTAGCTGGGTTAGGCTAAAATAAATTTTTCTTGTTATAATAAGGTTAGGTAAGTTTTCTAAGATTCTTTTGATGCAAAATTATAAATTTTTACATCAACATTAATGAAAAAAATATATCTTTAAACGTATAAGAGAAAATTTCAGAAAGGACTTAATTTTAAATGAGTTCTTGCTAATTGACCAGTTTTACATATTCGGCACGACATATAATTATATATATATATTATATATATATATATATATATATATATATATATATATATATAATAATATATATTATATATATATATAAGTAGGTCTTAGACAGGGATGTGTAATGTCACCATGGTTGTTTAATATATTTATAGATGGGGTTGTAAAAGAAGTAAATGCTAGGGTGTTCAGGATAGGGGTGGGATTAAATTATGGGGAATCAAATTCAAAATGGGAATTGACACAGTTACTTTTTGCTGATGATACTGTGCTTATGGGAGATTCTAAAGAAAAATTGCAAAGGTTAGTGGATGAGTTTGAGAATGTGTGTAAAGGTAGAAAGTTGAAAGTGAACATAGAAAAGAGTAAGGTGATGAGGGTATCAAATGATTTAGATAAGAAAAAATGGATATCAAATTGGGGAGGAGGAGTATGGAAGAAGTGAATGTTTTCAGATACTTGGGAGTTGACGTGTCGGCGGATGGATTTATGAAGGATGAGGTTAATCATAGAACTGATGAGGGAAAAAAGGTGAGTGGTGCGTTGAGGTATATGTGGAGTCAAAAAACGTTATCTATGGAGGCAAAGAAGGGAATGTATGAAAGTATAGTAGTACCAACACTCTTATATGGATGTGAAGCTTGGGTGGTAAATGCAGCAGCGAGGAGACGGTTGGAGGCAGTGGAGATGTCCTGTCTAAGGGCAATGTGTGGTGTAAATATTATGCAGAAAATTCGGAGTGTGGAAATTAGGAGAAGGTGTGGAGTTAATAAAAGCATTAGTCAGAGGGCAGAAGAGGGGTTGTTGAGGTGGTATGGTCATTTAGAGAGAATGGATCAAAGTAGAATGACATGGAAAGCATATAAATCTATAGGGGAAGGAAGGAGGGGTAGGGCTCGTCCTCGAAAGGGTTGGAAAGAGGGGGTAAAGGAGGTTTTGTGGGCTAGGGGTTTGGACTTCCAGCAAGCGTGCATGAGCGTATTAGATAGGAGTGAGTGGAGGCGAATGATACTTGGGACCTGACGATCTGTTGGAGTGTGAGCAGGGTAATATTTAGTGAAGGGATTCAGGGAAACCGGTTATTTTCCTATAGTCGGACTTGCGTCCTGGAAATGGGAAGTACAATGCCAGCACTTTAAAGGAGGGGTTTGGGATATTGGCAGTTTGGAGGGATATGTTGTGTATCTTTATACGTATATGCTTCTGAACTGTTGTATTCTGAGCACCTCTGCAAAAGCAGTGATAATGTGTGAGTGTGGTGAAAGTGTTGAATGATGATGAAAGTATTTTCTTTTTGGGGACTTTCTTTTTTGGGTCACCCTGCCTCGGTGGGAGACGGCCGACTTGTTAAATATATATATATATATATATATATATATATATATATATATATATATATATATATATATATATATATATATATATATATATATATATATCAGTTTTCTAATGGTTAAATAAAAGTGTTCATATACTGTACTTGCTTTAGTTTGTCAGTGATTTCACACGCCAACAAAATTACACATACAGTGAGCCTGGCTAACATCACGGTAATAGTAGTAACAACCATAACTGTGCATCTAAAACTGTGATAAGTGTTTTTCGAGGCAACGAGGCGGCCGAGAAAATGCGTTCAAATCGGAATATTTATTCCTCCTGGTGCCAAATTGTGCGGTCATTACCTGTCGTCCGCAGCTGTCACCCTCAGCCTGCCAAGAAGTCAGGCCAGTTGGGTAGCCTTTTGGTCTCTTCTCAACCATCCTGGCCTCCACGTCCTCCTCCCGTCGGCTCTCCAGGACCCACGTGTCGTTACCCCACAATATACGACTGAAAAAATATCCCTCAAACACAGGCCGGCCGTTATGATAGCCGTGAAGCGTGTAGGTGCGGTCAAACTTGGACTCCCGGCACAGGCCCCGCAGTCTAAGAGTAGGCGGCATGGTGAAGGTGCACAGCGGGCAGGTGAGGGTGCTGCAATCAGCACTGTACCATAGGTAAGGAAAGTTAATAGCAGCGCCGGTGGCACACGGGTATTGCTTGGAAGGTATATTCCAAGCTTCCAGCCAACTGCCCCATCGTAGAGGAGTGTTGTCGTCTATATACAACCATACCTTCTCGCTCAGGTTACTTTTCAAACCCAGCCAATAGAGACTTGCCCACCCTTGTATGCACTTATCATTGAACTTTATAAACTCATCAAAAATTCTTTTGTTTTCTTCAGAGTCTTTGGGAACAGCAAGGCCGCCGGTGAACATCTGACACGAGACGAGTGCTTCACTGAAAGTCTTTCTTTCTGGTAAAAGCATCACGTACCTGTCAAATCCGCGACATAGTTCCGAGAGTCGTAGCGTAACTACCTGGCTCTCCCCATTTACCTTCAGCGAAGACATATCCTCACTAAAACTATGAAGTGGATCAATACCACTGAGGTTACTTCGACATGTGGTAAAGTCGTGCATGTCAACCAGCGGGAGAGCTACGTTGTACAGCCTGAAGTCTGCCAGGTATCCATGGAAGGCCTGAGTCACGTCCCACTCTGCGTCAAGGTTGATGTTTTGACCTAAGACGAAACGGCCGTTGGGTCTCACCGCGGCCGATGCTGGTGTAGTTTCAGATTCAGCTCGCTTGGCTCCAAGCTGCCATGTCTGCAATCATACATACGACAGTAGCTATTAGCGTATCAGCTTTAATAAAAATCGTGTTCACAAAAAGTGCAAAACCCGTGTTTGTAATTTAGCGCAACTGTATTATTTTCATTATAAATATGCTCATCATTGTAAAGATTTCACGTGCACACCTTTAATGTTGTATTTCCTTTAAAATCATTATATTACATCAAACTAAAGCACTAAGCTTAAATAAAATAATATATTAGTAGCCAGTGGCGGCGCCAAGGGACACTTCGGCTCTCAAAAAAAAAAAAAAAGCTTCAAAACAGGTCTCCTAGACTTCTCCCATTCCAACCAGAGAGCCACTCCTAGGCCCCCCACCCAGTACAGAAATTCACATTCATTCTCGTTCATTCTTTCTTTCTTTTTCTTGATCTAATAATTGTATTGATCTCCTGTGTTATATGTTTTATCACAGTACTTAATCTACTTTCTTCGATTTATACTTCGTGTAAATGATTTCGTATTTACACAGCATCAATGGTCGTAAGGCTAGCAAGGCTAGCTGAGGATAAATATTAAAATATTAGCGTTCTAATCAAAATGTATTGTTAATATTGATGAATAGATAAAATATTAATCACTGAAACGAATGCGAGACTTGTTACGATACTGTTACGACCCACACCCGTGACTGCCTTACTAGGGTTAATATAACAATACCAGAAACATTTACAAGGCAGTAGCATAAATCTATCAATCTCTCCACTCTTGCCTCAAATCACCCAGTTTCATTTACCCAAATAACCTAAAAGGATTAAAACACAACATAAGGTGTGTGATACATAAGATTCAGTACTGCTTTGTCCACCTCAGCCCCTGAGAATTTTGTCATCACGGAATGCAACCTCCGTAAAGGTAGACAAATCTCAACGCTTGTGTATTTAGAAACACTGTACTGGTGGATTACATATACGTTGTGTTGCCGGTGGTACGAGCACGGGGCTTTCCAGCGGGACAGAGCCTCGTGTAAGCCAGAAGTCGCACTAATAAAAGTTCTTCTTTTCCTGTATGTATCCTTACACCACGGGCTGGCTACTCCATACTTCAACTATCTACGGCACACACAGATTTGACGAGACAGGCAAGTGTTGGTACCTTGTTGTCGAAGGCCAGGTGCAGTGTATCGTTGGGCAGGTGAGCGGCGACACATAGATGGTGCCAGGTGAACAGGTGTACAGGTACTTGGATGTACTGATGAATGTGATAGTTACAGCACATCACTAACACTTCCCCGCTCGGCCACTTGATAGCTGAACACAAACAAACGACTGCGTCATAACAAAAGGCAAAAGCGCACTGGTCGCTATTACTATGATATATATATATATATATATATAATAAAATATATATATATATATATATATATTTAAATATATCACACACCGGCCGATTCCCACCAAGGCAGGGTGGCCCGAAAAAGAAAAACTTTCACCATCATTCACTCCATCACTGTCTTGCCAGAAGGGTGCTTTACACTACAGTTTTTAAACTGCAGCATTAACACCCCTCCTTCAGAGTGCAGGCACTGTACTTCCCATCTCCAGGACTCAAGTCCGGCCTGCCGGTTTCCCTGAATCCCTTCATAAATGTTACTTTGCTCACACTCCAACAGCACGTCAAGTATTAAAAACCATTTGTCTCCATTCACTCCTATCAAACACGCTCACGCATGCCTGCTGGAAGTCCAAGCCCCTCGCACACAAAACCTCCTTTACCCCCTCCCTCCAACCCTTCCTAGGCCGACCCCTACCCGCCTTCCTTCCACTACAGACTGATACACTCTTGAAGTCATTCTGTTTCGCTCCATTCTCTCTACATGTCCGAACCACCTCAACAACCCTTCCTCAGCCCTCTGGACAACAGTTTTGGTAATCCCGCACCTCCTCCTAACTTCCAAACTACGAATTCTCTGCATTATATTCACACCACACATTGCCCTCAGACATGACATCTCCACTGCCTCCAGCCTTCTCCTCGCTGCAACATTCATCACCCACGCTTACAACACCCTATAAGAGCGTTGGTAAAACTATACTCTCATACATTCCCCTCTTTGCCTCCAAGGACAAAGTTCTTTGTCTCCACAGACTCCTAAGTGCACCACTCACTCTTTTTCCCTCATCAATTCTATGATTCACCTCATCTTTCATATATAATATATATATATATATATATATATATATATATATATATATATATATATATATATATATATAATATATTATATATATGTCGTGCCGAATATGTAAAACTGGTCAAGCAAGAACTCATTTAAAATTAAGTCCTTTCGAAAATTTACTCTTATACGTTTAAAGATATATTTTTTTCATTAATGTTAATGTAAAAATTTATAATTTTTCACCACAAGAATCTTAGAAAACTTACCTAACCTTATTATAACAAGAACAATTTATTTTAGCCTAACCCAACTATATATATTTTAGATTTGTTTACAATAATTTAATACTAAACAAGCACAGTGAAATATATTTTTTTCGTTAGGTTCAGAATGATTTTGGCGAAATTATTGCATACACAAATTTTCGCTTGTCCTATATGGAAAGATGAGCGTTGCTTTTTTAAGCCGAGATCGCAAGTTCTGCCTATTCGGCACGACTTTATAATATATATATATATATATATATTATTATATTATATATATATATATATATATATATATATTGTAGTGGTTGGTAGACAGCAACCCCCAGGGAGGTACTACCGTCCTGCCAAGTGAGTGTAAAAATGAAACCCTGTAATTGTTTTACATGATGGTAGGATTGCTGGTGTCTTTTGTCTGTCTCATAAATATGCAAGATTACGGGTACGTCTTGCTACTTCTACTTACACTTAGGTACACTACACATACATGTACACGTTTATATATACACACTCATCTGAGTTTTCTTTGATTTTATCTTAATAGTTCTTGGTCTTATTACTTTTCCTTTATATCCATGGGGAAATGGAATAAGAATCTTTCCTCCGTAAGCCATGCGTGTTGTAAAAGTCAACTAAAATGCGGAACAAAAGGGCTAGTAACCCCTTTTCCCGTAAAGATTACTAAAAAGAATAATAAGAAGAAAATTTTCAAAGTGGAGAAGTCTGAATGTGCGTGGATGTTGTGCAGATGATAAGAAAGAGATGATTGTGGATGTTATGAATGAGAAGAAACTGGATGTCCTGGCTTTAAGTGAAACAAAGCTGAAGGGGGTGGGAGAGTTTCAGTGGAGAGGAATAAATGGGATTAGGTCAGGGGTTTCAAATATGAGTTAGAGCTAAAGAAGGAGTAGCAATAATGTTGAAGGATAAGTTATGGCAGGAAAAGAGGGGGCTACAAATGCATAAATTCAAGGATTATGTGGAGTAAAATAAAGATTGGATGTGAAAAGTGGGTTATAGTAAGCGTGTATGACCTGGAGAAGAAAGAAGGTAAGAGGAGAGAGAGAGATTCTGGGAAATGTTGAGTGAATGCGTGGGGGGTTTTGATTCAAGTGTGAGAGTAATGGTGGTTGGGGATTTTCAATGCTAAAGTGGGGTAAAAATGTTATGGAGGGAGTAGTAGGTAAATTTGGGGTGCCAGGGGTAAATGTAAATGGGGAGCCTTTAATTGAGCTATGTGTAGAAAGAAATTTGGTAATAAATAATACACATTTTATGAAAAAGAGGATAAATAAATATACAAGGTATGATGTAGCACGTAATGAAAGTAGTTTGTTAGATTATGTATTGGTGGATAAAAGGTTGACGGGTAGGCTCCAGGATGTACATGTTTATAGAGGGGCAACTGATATGTCAGATCATTATTTAGTTGTAGCTACAGTTAGAGTAAGAGGTAGATGGGAAAAGAGGAAGGTGGCAACAACAAGTAAGAGGGAGGTGAAAGTGTATAAACTAAGGGAGGAGGAAGTTCGGGCGAGATATAAGCGACTATTGGCAGAAAGGTGGGCTAGTGCAAAGATGAGTAGTGGGGGGGTTGAAGAGGGTTGGAATAGTTTTTAAAATGCAGTATTAGAAATGTGGGCAGAAGTTTGTGGTTATAGGAGGGTGGGGGCAGGAGGAAAGAGGAGTGATTGGTGGAATGATGAAGTAAAGGGTGTGATAAAAGAGAAAAAGGTAGTTATGAGAGGTTTTTTACAAAGCAGAAGTGTTATAAGAAGAGCAGAGTATATGGAGAGTAAAAGAAAGGTGAAGAGAGTGGTGAGAGAGTGCAAAAGGAGAGCAGATGAAAGAGTGGGAGAGGCACTGTCAAGAAATTTCAATGAAAATAAGAAAAATTTTTGGAGCGAGTTAAACAAGTTAAGAAAGCCTAGGGAAAGTATGGATTTGTCCATTAAAACAGAGTAGGGGAGTTAGTAGATGGGGAGAGGGAGGTATTAGGTAGATGGCGAGAATATTTTGAGGAACTTTTAAATGTTGAGGAAGAAAGGGAGTCGGTAATTTCATGCACTGGCCAGGGAGGTATACCATCTTTTAGGAGTGAAGAAGAGCAGAATGTAAGTGTGGTGGAGGTACGTGAGGCATTACGTAGAATGAAAGGGGGTAAAGCAGCTGGAACTGATGGGATCATGACAGAAATGTTAAAAGCAGGGGGGATATAGTGTTGGAGTGGTTGGTACTTTTGTTTAATAAATGTATGAAAGAGGGGAAGGTACCTAGGGATTGCGGAGAGCATGTATAGTCCCTTTATATAAAGGGAAAGGGACAAAAGAGATTGTAAAAATTATAGAGGAATAAGTTTACTGAGTATACCAGGAAAAGTATACGGTAGAGTTATAATTGAAAGAATTGAGGTAAGACAGAATGTAGAATTGCGGATGAGCAAGGAGGCTTCAGAGTGGGTAGGGGATGTGTAGATCAAGTGTTTACATTGAAGCATATATGTGAACAGTATTTGGATAAAGGTAGGGAAGTTTTTATTGCATTTATGGATTTAGAAAAGGCATATGATAGAGTGGATAGAGGAGCAATGTGGCAGATGTTGCAAGTTTATGGAATAGGTGGTAAGTTACTAAATGCTGTAAAGAGCTTTTATGAGGATAGTGAGGCTCAGGTTAGGGTGTGTAGAAGAGAGGGAGAATACTTCCAGCTAAAAGTAGGTCTTAGACAGGGATGTGTAATGTCACCATGGTTGTTTAATATATTTATAGATGGGGTTGTAAAAGAAGTAAATGCTAGGGTGTTCGGGAGAGGGGTGGATTAAATTATGGGGAATCAAATTCAAAATGGGAATTGACACAGTTACTTTTTGCAGATGATACTGTGCTTATGGGAGATTCTAAAGAAAAATTACAAAGGTTAGTGGATGAGTTTGGAATGTGTGTAAAGGTAGAAAGTTGAAAGTGAACATAGAAAAGAGTAGGTGATGAGGGTATCAAATGATTTAGATAAGAGAAAAATTGGATATCAAATTGGGGAGGAGGAGTATGGAAGAAGTGAATGTTTTCAGATACTTGGGAGTTGACGTGTCGGCGGATGGATTTATGAAGGATGAGGTTAATCATAGAATTGATGAGGGAAAAAAGGTGAGTGGTGCGTTGAGGTATATGTGGAGTCAAAAAACGTTATCTATGGAGGCAAAGAAGGGAATGTATGAAAGTATAGTAGTACCAACACTCTTATATGGATGTGAAGCTTGGGTGGTAAATGCAGCAGCGAGGAGACGGTTGGAGGCAGTGGAGATGTCCTGTCTAAGGGCAATGTGTGGTGTAAATATTATGCAGAAAATTCGGAGTGTGGAAACTAGGAGAAGGTGTGGAGTTAATAAAAACATTAGTCAGACGGCAGAAGAGGGGTTGTTGAGGTGGTTTGGTCATTTAGAGAGAATGGATCAAAGTAGAATGACATGGAAAGCATATAAATCTATAGGGAAGGAAAGAGGGGTAGGGGTCGTCCTCGAAAGGGTTGGAAAGAGGGGGTAAAGGAGGTTTTGTGGGCGAGGTCCTTGGACTTCCAGCAAGCGTGCATGAGCGTGTTAGATAGGAGTGAATGGAGACGAATGACACTTGGGACCTGACGATCTGTTGGAGTGTGAGCAGGGTAATATTTAGTGAAGGGATACAGGGAAACCGGTTATTTTCATATAGTCGGACTTGAGTCCTGGAAATGGGAAGTACAATGCCTGCACTTTAAAGGAGGGGTTTGGGATATTGGCAGTTTGGAGGGATATGTTGTGTATTTTTATATGTATATGCTTCTAAACTGTTGTATCCTGAGCACCTCTGCAAAAGCAGTGATAATGTGTGCGTGT